AAAAAAAAAGATGGAAGACACTATCACTGCTTACTTCTGTCATTGTTTGCTACCCTCCAGGCTGGCCTTGGGCAGGAAGGTGTGCACCACTGCATCTGAGCTTGCCTCTCTGTGCCAGGGGGACCGAGGACTCAACAATGGTTCCCAGGCAAAGCCACAACCACAGGTTCATCAAGTCTGTTACATGAAATCTCTTCCCCCTACTTACCACAAAGGTTCTGCCTGCCCTAGCCAGGGAAAGGAATGTGGGACCCAGACCTTAAGATCTGTTTCCCATGTTCACATGGGAAGAACACATGACTGCTGCTATTAGAACCCTTTGGGCCCCAGACAAATATGACTTTCTCCACACAATAGGAGGTTACACCCATTTTCCCCACTGGGCACACTTTACGATATTGTTCCCTGTGGCTGCTGTTTCATTTCTCAGTTCTGCCTTTTTGGTTGGAAGGCCTCTTTTAAAAACACACCCACACCCCACCCCTACCCCATACACTCTCCACCTGTGCAATCACTAGTACCCCAGGATTCATCAGAGATTTCTAACTATCCCCTCAAGCTAAGTGTCCTGGATAGAGTGGAAGCCCAGCCTAGGCTCCTAGGCTTTGCCCTATGACAAGACGTTCGGGGCAGAGTTGACTGAAGGCAGTCACCCAAATGAAGGGACTGATCTTGGAGGGTAAACTGAAGAATTCCTGACGATGGCCACATACTTAATTTATCCATTTATGAGAGTCTCACATAGCCCAGGCTTACGTAGCCAAGGATGAAATAAATTTCTAATCTTCCTGCATTCACCTCTTATGTACTGGAACTACAGGTTTACACCATCACACCGGCTTCTGTACTGCTGGGAATCAAACCTACCTGTTCCTGCAGGCTAGGGAAGCACTACCAACTTAGCTACATCTCCGGCCCTGATTCTATGTTTAAACTTTTTTTGTTGAGATAATGTCTCGTGTAGCCCAGGCTGACTCAGAAATCTTTGTGTAGCTGGGGATGTCCTTGAACTTCTGATCCTCCTGCTTCCACCTCCAAAGGCATGGGACACCACACCATTTTTATTATGTTTAGCCTTCTCAGCCGTGATATTGGTGATCATGTTCTGGCTCCACGATGTTAGAACCTGAGAGCTAAAGCCTCTGAGCCCACTAAGCTTCATAAGTGCAGGATACTTCCCTTGGCCTTAAGTCAGCCACGTGCTTTTATCTTCCTTTGGTGTCTTGAGTACATGGTCTTAGCAAGGCAAACTGGCCTGGGACAGGTACAAACTCACTAAACTCCCTAACTCGGGTTTGGCCTCCTCTGAATTTTAGGGCCCTTAGATTGACAAATGTCTACTGGGTACTGGTAGACCAGGCCCAGTCAGGCCACCAAAGGCTGTGACTGTTCTGTGTGCAGCAATGAAAGGTGGGCCTGGATGCTGCAGACCACAAGATGGAAGGGGTTCACATAGGTCAGGGACATGTGGGATGGATGTCACGGAGACTAGTACCAGGAGAATGAACTTGCTCAAGGTCACGCAGCTAGGCAGCCTAGAAGTGGAAGACCTAAAGATTTAAACCAGGGGTATCACTTTGAACCCTGGGTTCTTCTCACAAAAACTAGCCAAAGGCAAGCGGGTCATGACGACGGAAGTCAGCGCAGTGTTGGCGGAACCCCACTTGGGCATAGGTACTCATTATTGCTTGACCAAATCACATCGGCCGGAAGTGCCTTCTGCCTTTCAAAAACCATTTTTACCAAACCCTACAGGTGCCCTGGGGGCCGGAAGTGATGTTATCCACGCGGTAATTCAGGAGGCGGAGCTAGTGGGGAAGCCCCATCCTAAGAGTGAGGCAGCGGGTTTCGGACGGTCCAATGAGGGCGGGCAGCGTGTCCCGCCCTGTAGCGACGAGGACGCGCCTGCGCAGAGGTGACCGCACGCGCGCGATTGGCTCCGGGGGCGCGGTGAGGAGGTGAGCGGGGGGCCACAGCCCGGGCTGGGAGATTCGGGTGCAGGAGGGCAGGCTGGGGCAGGCCGGGCCGAACCGGGCTGTAATCCGCGTGCCAGAGAGGGATAGTGGACGAGGGAATTGGGGCTGGGGTCCAGTGTCTGGCAATGCCGCAGGGGGCGGGCTCTCACGCCGTACGGGGCGGAGCCCTGAGACTCGGGGCGGGACGCGGAACAGCGGCGGTGCGAGTGGAGGGCGGAGCCCAGCCGCCCGTAGAGGGGCTAGGACGACTGCGGGGCGGGGTCTGGCGTTTAGAGGAGGAACCGGAACAGGTGGAAGGTGGAGCCTTGGGCTCGGAGACGGAGGGCGTGGGGTCCCCGGCGTTGGGGGCGGGGCTTCAGCCGGTGAGTGGCGTAACTCCTGTACAGAAGGGGCCTAGAATTGCCGAGGGCGGAGCTGTAGGTCAGGGGGCGGAGCCACGTGCCCTGAAGGGCGGGGCCAAGGAGCCTTGCGAAGAGCTAAGCCCAAGTAATGGCCCGGGACGCCCACGTGGGGGCGGTCTCCGTGGTGGCCGCGCCTGGGGTCGCACTAGACCCAGAACTCCCCCTGGAGAGATTGTGTGGGTGGAGCGGGCTCGGCGCCCCGCTGACTCGGGGCCAGTCTGGGTGCCCCGGAGGCCCCCGAGAGCTCAGAGCTGGGGGGGCACCTCTGGCGGAGGAGGCACGGCCCCGGGATGGGGTGTACCTCCGGAGGACCGGGGCTCCCCAGAGCCGCCTAGCGGAGATGTATGGGTACCTCGGGGCCGGCCACCTGCAGCAGCCGCAGAGGTGTGGGTGTGCTGGACAGGAGGCAGCTGGGTGTGGCGGGAGTGGGGTCCTCCGGTCGGGACTAATCCGGCGCAACCAGATAGGGTTTGGACTTTGCGTAAAGGGGCGAGCGGGAATTGAAGAATGGAGATGGGAACCGGGAGGAAGGGAAGGTCTGTTATTGAGTAAAGGGGCGGGGCCCTGGCTGCTGTGGCCTCCCCTGACCCTCTCCCCTCGCTGCTGGGGTCCTCGGCCAAGCCCCCTTCTCACGGGATTGGTAAGTGTGGCCGCAGAGCCCAGGGGACAGGGTGGTGACAGTGGGATTCCCCAGGAACAGGCAAGATACAATGGGAGTGGCATCCTCCTGATACTGACTGGAGTTCCATGACCCTCCCCTCTTGGTCGGGGGTTGGGGACTGTGTCTACAGAGACATGAGGCTGAGCTGGGTCCTGACAATACTATCCATTTGCCTGAGTGCCCTGGCCACAGCCACGGGGGCAGAAGGCAAACGCAAGCTACAGATTGGAGTGAAGAAACGTGTGGACCACTGTCCCATCAAGTCTAGAAAGGGAGATGTCTTACACATGCACTACACGGTAGGTATCAGGGTGGAAGTTCTGGGGCAATGACAGTTCCTGGGAACCAGAAAGGACTGGGAATCTCATTCTTCTTTCAGTTAGGTAGATGACCTTGAGCCCTTTGGCCTCTAAGCTCCTTTCCAGGAGTCTGACCTTGCCTTTCCCTGTATTCATCATCTAGGTGTTAGCATGAAAATTACTGCATGTGGGCTACCAAGGCATTGTCTCTTTTAAGAAATGTAACTACCAGTGCTGTGGTGACCCCGTTGATGGGGTGGGGAGAGTGACTGGGTGAAAGGGGTTCTGGAGTGGTTGGTCACCTCTCCTTACTAGTTCTCCCGCGGTCTGTCCCACAGGGGAAGCTGGAAGATGGGACAGAGTTTGACAGCAGTCTACCAAAGAACCAGCCCTTTGTTTTCTCCCTTGGCACTGGCCAGGTCATCAAGGGCTGGGACCAGGGGCTGCTGGGGTGAGTCTGGGGTACATGTTGCAGTGATCCAGGAGATAAGCTGTGGGAAGAAAAGTCCATTTGTGGGGCAAGGGTCTGGGCGCCTCACATGCTGAGTATGTATCATCCTGCAGGATGTGTGAAGGGGAAAAGCGGAAGCTGGTGATTCCATCTGAGCTGGGTAAGAGGCCCTTGGGGTTAGGGGGACTTGGGGAGGGGGAGCAGGATACTTGGATGTCCCTAAAGTAGTTAAAGCCACTTCAGCCCACGGTCCCACACTATCTAGTTGCTGTAGTATATGCTACTTCCAAGTCTGGCCTTGACTCTGTGACCCTCTGTGACCTTGTCCTCCTCCATTGCACCCCCTATTTCTGCCTGCCTATGGCAGGCTTATCCTTTATGGGGGCTAGAAGAAAGCCTGGCCACAACTTACTTTGTGTCTTTATGTATTTTTGACAGGGTATGGAGAGAGGGGAGCTCCCCCAAAGATCCCAGGTAATACCCCTGACACCCCAACCCCATGACTCTCCCGGGGTCCCAGGTCCCAATCTGACCAGACTTCTCCCTTCAGGTGGAGCAACCCTGGTGTTTGAGGTGGAGCTGCTCAAGATTGAGCGACGTTCAGAACTGTAGCAGGCCGCAGAGGGGTAGGAGACCCCTGTCAGGGACCAGACTGCTTCAAAACACAACAAAACAAACAAAAAATTTAAAACCCAAGAGTGAGTCTGTGTTTCTTTGTGGATCCTAAGAGACTTAAGTTAAGACTTTAGCTTCAGCATTGGGGGAATAGCTCAATGGCTCAGAATGGGGCACAGGCCTAATATGAGTGAACCCCACCACCACCACTGGATCCCCAGCTTGGGCGGGGAGAAAACAACACTAGCTTCAGTCTCAGCTTTCCTGATAACTGCAGAGCCTTGAGGTTTAGTCTCAAAGGCTGGAGACCCTTACCCAGTGGAAATTAAAAAAAAAAAAAGAGGGCTGGGTAGCACTGCTCCCTAGCCACTTGGCATACCAGTCAGGGAGCCAGCATGGGGTTGTATCACCATGGCTACATGGCTCCTGCAGGAAGGCCTGTGGTCACCTGGGGAGTAGCTGAGTGGTGACAATTGTAGAGCAGTGTGTCACCTCCCACCCCCCAAAGACCAACCAAGCCTATTAGCTGCTCCAAGGCCATGTGATCCCAGCTTTATTTTCAAAGGGCCTGCGCCGCAGAATCAATATAAAAACACAAAAAGTCCCATCAGTTTAATAACAATAAAAAACCCCAAAAATGGAAAACTGAGGGCAAGGGAAGTGGCCCCTAGGCAGGGGCAAAGGGATCCCTGCTCATGGCACCAGGCCTGGCCGCAGGGTCCCCCGTATTGCTGTTGCTACGAGGTTGGGGCAGCGATTGTCCTGTGGGAGCCATGGTCATCTGGGTCAGGACCCTTACTTCTTCTGGGGTGTGCTCAGCTTCTGCATGCCCCGGATCTTGTCCAGCAGGCCAGAGATGAAGGCCTAGATAAGAGGGTGTACCGTTAGTGAGGCTAAGACCCAAGATGGTAATCTGACATACATACATACATACCCACTCTAAGGTCAGGGAAAATGACTTACCTCAGTGGGTTTGTAACAGTCAACTAACAGCTCCTGGTGAGGGAGAACACAGTGAGTTCTTGGGGACAGGACTTAAGAGTTCACCTATACCCTCCCAAGGGACTGAGGCCACTTAGGAATGTAGCTAAGTTAAGTTCCATGACCCTCGTTTTTCCAGAGGCAGAAGATGACCCAAACCAAAGAAGGTATGGCACCAGGTATGGCAGAGCTTCCCCAAGGGGCAGTGTCTCCAGGCAGCCTTCCCCTGGATGACTTCAGCTTACCTTCACTCTAGCAGCCCGGGTATCATCGCTTTCCATGTCCAAGAGTTCATCCACATCTATCTCCAGCTCTGGGATCTCCTCTTCCTGGGGTAGGGTTGGGAGAAAAGGACAATGCCTCAGCAGGAGGGGGTCTGGAGAGGACTCCCTGCCTAACTCAAAACCGTACCAGCCCTCCTTGCCCAGCACAAGACAGCTGCTCTGGGAAGGAAAACAGATCAGGTCTGTGCCAAGGCAAATTGCCCAATGAGGGGGAACTTCCTGTCCCTGCCAGTGGGCACCAGGGGCGCCAGACAGACAGGGCTGGGGACCTTGGGCTTTGAACCCAGCAGATGTGTCTTCTCAGCATCCAGGACCTCTAGCTTACTAGAGCACTGGTGGGGCCAGCTGTCCCAGTTCATCACAGTCCCCTCCCCTCCCCCAAACACCTGTCACAGCTTCCTGGGAGGGAGGAGGAAGTGAAGGGTGAGGGGTCAATGGGAAAGACCCATGCTTGATAAAGGGGGAAACAAAGAGTCCATGCTTTGAGGAGAAAGGGGTATACCCCCCTCTCCCCAAGGGAACAGCTATCCCACTTGGAGCCAGCTGCATTCCAGGGCTGGGCTAGGGTAGGCATCACAGGGCAAGCCCACTCCTCCACCCTACCCCTGGGGGCCTGAGTCACCATCTGAACAAGCAGGGAGTCATGGGGTGGAGAGCCAGAGCCGGGAGAGCTGGCTAACCGGTCTCGACAGACAGCATGGCAGGCTAGCCCACTAGAACAACTCAGATCCTTTATACACTTGAAACAGTTAGACTTGTGTCTTTTCAACTAGTGTCTTCGCTAGCCCAGACTAGACGAACTAGATCAGACCATTCACTATCAGCCCAAGCCAGACCCCTGCCTCCAGGTCTAGGCCAGGCTACCTATCCCTGTAGGCTTGGGGACAACATCATGCTTAACCTGGGGTAGCACCACGAAGGACTCAAGGTCCGAGGCAGCGGAGAAAGCTAGTGACTCAGGTCAGGCAAGAAAAGCCACACACTGGGGAGCGGCGAAAGTAAGACGGGTGGCTTGGCAGCAGAACTCCCACTGACCGGTGACAAGACTGTGGGGTTTCCGAGCAGACCGACATAGGTCCGGTTCTAGGGTATCGGCACGGGGTGGGGAGCACACCTGGCAGTCGTAGAGACGCGTGAGCTGTTCTAGGATCCACTCCTCCAGGTTGAGGCGCTTCCGTAGCTCCTTGCGGTCGTACTTGACGGTGACCTTCCCTTGCCGTCTCACTGGGCCATCGTCATCCGCGCCCCCCGGGCCTTCGCCGGCCGCCCCGGGGGGGCTCTGGAAGTAGACCCGAGGCCCTG